TCAGGAGAGTGACAGACACAGGACGGTCGCCCTCGTATGTGGGGTAGAAAAAAACATAAGGGAATAGCAAATCCCCCCCACCCCCGAGGCCCCAGGAACTAAGAACCGATTTTTAGCAGGAAGCAGATCCCTGATGGGGTGAGGACGGGGCCAGGGCGGGGCGGGGGCCACAGGGCAACCCCAGTGCATCCCCGCACCCTCCTCGGCCAGGACTGACCCCCAAGCACCGGGCCAGGAGGAAACCAGGGAGCACACACGTAGGCAAAGGCCGCAGCACGCCCTGCTCCCCGTCCTGGGTGGAGACCAGCGTGAGCCCCTTCCTCCTGCAAGAGTGAAATCTCAGAGGGGCCACGCTGCGCGCCCAGTCACAGTGCAGAGCCACCAAACGGGCGCAAAGCCACGAGCCACGACGCAGTGCTGAATAGACCAGCGGCTCCCTGAGGAACTGGGTGAGTCTGCTCACTGCCGAGTCTCCAGCTCCCGGACGAGTGTCACGTAGCGCAAACATGTGGACATGGAGGGACACACGGACGGAAGGGAGGCAGGTGGGTGGGCAGGTGAGGGACGAGAGGAAGGAAGAAAGGACAGACGACGGATGGGCAGGCAGAAAGACAGATGGATGCAGAGGCAGACAGATGAATGAATGGATGTTCGGACAGATGGATGGATGGACAATAGATGAAAGAACGGATGGACAGATGGACAGATGAATGGACGGACAGACGGATGGATGGATGGATGGATGGATAGATGACAGATGGATGGATGGATGGATGATGGATGAAAGAACAGATAGACAGATGGACAGATGAACAGATGGATGGATAGAATAGACAGATGGATGAATGGATGGATGGATGGATGGATGGATGAAAGAATGGATGGACAGACGGACGGATGAACAGATGGATGGATAGACAGATGAATGGATGGATGGATGGATGGATGGACATCGGATGGATGGACGATGGACGAAAGAATGGAAGGACAGATGGACGGATGAATGGATAAATGTATGGATGGGTGGACAGACGGATGAATGAAAGGATGCTCGGACAGAGGATGAATGAACGGATGGATGGACAGACGGATGGATGAATGCACGGACGGACAGACAGATGGACGGGCGGGGTCGATGGGTGGTGGGGCAGGGGTGACGGAACAGGAGGGGGGCCCTACAGAGCAGCGGGTCCTGGCTGGTCACCAGCACGCCCTGGGCTGGGTCTTAAGTGACTCAGCTGTGAGGCCGTGTCACACCCACCAGGGAGGGAGAAGAAAGGAAGGAAGGGAGGGTGGGAGGGAGGAAGGAAGGCGGGTTTGTTTTCAGTTTTCGGAGCGGGGCCGAGGAGGGCGAGCATGCAGAACACCCCGCCGCAGGCCCGTCGGAACCGGCTTCACAGAAGGTTCCAGGCCTGGAAACCCCCAGCCTCTGACGGGCAGCCAGCACGGGCGGTCAGTCCGGAAGAGGACGGGCGCACCACCTGTATTTACCCTGGGGTGGGCCCACCCGGCCCCTGCCCGGGCTTCCGGGCACCTGCGGGGTTCAGTGTTGCCAACGCAAACAGAGGCGCCACCTCTGCCCATCAGGCGCCCACCGGCCAGAGGACGCCCTGGGAGCCCCAGGAGCCCCGTGCCCGCCCCCGGGGTGGCTCAGAACTGGCCAGTGCAGCCAAGGACGCAGGGACAGGCCGTCTCGTGTCAGCTCAAGTCCAGCTGTCTGGCCAGAGGTTTTGGCTCAAGGGGTAGAGTCCAGGCCCCTTCTGCGGCAGGCCCCAGCTCCATCCTGGCACCACGTGGGCACCGTGTCCCCACAGCGACCGTCGGCCCACCTGTTGGGCCCCAGCAGGAACAACCTGCCCCCCTTGGAATTGTGGGAAGGCCCTATTTTTAATTTTATTTACAAGCTCCCTGTGACGTACTCGATACGCCAAACGCAGTAACAACAAGTCTCACGATGGAGACGTTACTGGGTCCGCTCGAGCAAATTGATGAACAACGGGAGGACAGTGCTATTAAAACTGTATTCACGGGGGAGCCGAAGTGATAGTCCAGTGGGGAGGGCATTTGCCTTGCCCGCGGCCAGCCCGGGTTCGATCCCCGCATCCCATCTGGTCCCCCAGCACTGCCAGCAGTAATTCCTGAATACAGAGCCAGGAGGAATCCCTGAGCATCGCCGGGTGTGGCCAAAAAAACGGAATGAAAATAAAAATGGACCCCGGGGCATGTACTTTACAGCGGACCCAAGTTCATCCCCAGCACCCATGTTGTGGCAGGCGTGATCCCTGAGCACAGACAGAGCCGAAGGAAGCGCTGAGTGCTCTCGGGTGCGGCAAGAAGCCCTTAGCCCAGACGTCGCCCGGGACACAGCACTTGCCTCACACGTGCAAAGCTGGGCTGGACCCCGGCAGCACACACGCAGCCATGGAGCAGAAGAGAAAAGTGCGAAGGAACACCAGGCGGGAAAGCCCAGGCAACGGCCCCTCGGAAAGAGCCCGCGGAGAGAGCACGGGAGCCAGGACACGCCCCAACATCAGTGACTCCAGCCGCAAGCGGCACGCTCAGCAGCTCCCGCCTCAACCGCCCCGGGGCCAGGGCAGGCGACAGGTTGCCCCGCGGTGGACTATTACTGAGCCAGAAAAAAAGGAAAAGGGCCAGCGGGCAGCTGAGTGGCAGGGGCAGGCTAGCGTGGGGCAGACCCCGGCTGGACCCCCGCGCCACAGTAGATAAGTGACAGGAAAGCCAGCCTGGTGCTCGCGGGAGCCCAGAAGGCGCTGTGGGCCGTGAGGAAGCCCCTGGCACAGGATCCCCCGAGGGGTCATGCAGGGAGCTCTCCAAGATAGGAAGCAGAGAAGTGGCTGCTGAGGCCGCCTGGTTTCTCTGGCAGCAAAGCTGAGGGGGAAACGGCAAGGGTGGCCGGGGACCATCCACAGGGACCGTCTGCGGGGACCCTCCGTGGGGACTGTCTGCTAGGACGGCAGGAGAGCCCGCAGGGATGCTGGGGCCCACCCAAGGGGCTGGTGGGACCCGCTCGCAGCTTCTTACACTGGGGGTGATGATCCCAGACTGAGTGTGTGGAGAACTGGGCAGTGGTCAGTGGTCTCTGGATGTGCAGCGCCCAGAGATTAATCCAAGATCCAAAGTGCCCCAAGTCCAGCGTGTCACTGGCCACCCTTGGGCGGCGGGAGGAGCTGCCAGCCATGCCCCCTCCAGCTCCTGGCAGTGAAGGGGCACGAATCCCTGTGGGATCACTGTCACTGTCCTGTCACTGTCCTCCCGTTGCTCATCGATTTGCTCGAGCGGGCCCAGTAACGTCTCCATTGTGACGATTGTTACTGTGTTTCGCGTATCGAGTACGTCACGGGGAGCTTGCCAGGCTCTGCGTGCGGGCGAGATACTCTCGGTAGCTTGCCGGGCTCTCCGAGAGGGGCGGAGGAATCGAACCCGGGTCGGCCGCGTGGGCCGCGTGCAAGGCAAACGCCCTACCGCTGTGCTATCGCTCCAGCCTGTGGCATCAGCTCCTGGCTTTGTGTCTGGGTCCCACCCGGCGGTGCCAGGGCTTCCTCCTGGCTCGGCGCTCCGGGACCACTCCTGGCGGTGCTCAGGGAGCCTATGGGGTACGGGGGTCGAAGCAGGTGGCTGTGGGCAAGGCGAGCGCCCTCCCCGCTGTGCCCTGGCTCCAGGCCCGAGATTTTTCTTTCTCTGTGGAGGCCACACCGGGCAATGCCGCGGGCCCACGGGGGCTCTGCCAGGGGCACTCGGGGCTCTTGCTGCGCCAGGTCCAAACTCAGCCCTTGAGTGCTCTCGACACGGCCACATCCCGGCCCTCAGACAGGGGTGAAGGAGGGCGCTGAGGACCGCAGGCCACAGTCCCCCGCCCCCCACCCCCGTGCCAGACACCAGACACACCGCCCCTGGCCTGAGAACAAGACACACTGCTCAGGACGGCGCTCACCTTGCACCTGCTGACCCGGGTTCAAAACCAGGCAACCCAGAGGGTCCCAGAGTGGTCCCGGAGCACAGGGCTGGGAGTGGCCCCCAAACAAGAACAACGAACTGATCTCGGGGACAAATACAGGGCAGGGGTTGGGCAGAGGCACGCTCTCCTGTCACCGGCCCTCCTCCCAGGACACCCTGTCATTTCTCCATTAAGTAACACGAGACCAGCGAAGGGTAGTACTGCATCTGTTCCTGATGCTCCAGTAATACAAAACCAGCCCAGTGGCACTGCACCTGTTCCTGATGCTCCAGTAATACAAGACCAGCCCAGTCGCACTGCATCTGTTCCTGATGCTCCAGTAATACAAGACCAGCCCAATGATATTGCATCTGTTTCTGATACTTCATTATAGAGACCAGACCAGTAGCACTGAATCTGTTCCTGATTCTCCAGTAATACAAGACCAGCCCCATGGCACTGCATCTATTCCTGATGCTCCAGTAATACAAGACCAATCCAGTGGCACTGAATCTGTTCCTGATGCTTCATTATACAAGACCAGCCCAGTGGCACTGAATCTGTTTCTGATGCTTTATTATTTAAGAAGCCCAGTAGTACTGCATCTATTCCTGATGCTTCAGTCATACAAGACCAGCCCGGTGGCACTGCATCTGTTCCGGATGCTCCAGTGAAGCCCTGGACAGAGGCCCCAAGGCCACCCGCCCGCAGACCTTTGGCCTGGCCGGCTCCGTGGTTTGCAACAAAAGGTAACAGTGCGGCTAGAGCGAGGAGTTTCTGCTAGTTCGGGCCACAGAGCCCTCAAGAGGGCAGCCAGGCCGACAGGGGAGGGGACCCGGGACCCGCCAGCCCCGCACACCCCCTCTTCCTGCTCCCCGCCGCCGGGCCGCCCCTCCCCCGCTGTCACTCCCCCCAGAGGCCCGGAGAGACCAGCCTGGGCCCAGCCTGGGCCCCGCTTTCAGTTTCAGAAGGAGCCACAGCAGGGGCAGGACAGGCAGCGGCGGCAGGAAGCGAGAAGCCCCGGCCGCGGCCACCCGCTACTCACGGACGCCCTCGATCTTGTCGGCCGTCTTGCTCCAGGCCACCTGGCGCGTCTCCATGATCACCTGGACGGTCCTGCGCTCCGGCGTGGACCTGCGGGCGCTGTACACGGTCATCACGGCGCCCAGCTCCAGCGCCCTCTTGATCTGGCTCTTCTCGTACTCTGGGAGTGTGTCCACGTTGACCGGGGCGGCCATGGCTGGCCAGGCCGCCGCGGGGGAGCCCGAGGGGGTGGAGGACGAGGAGTCTGGACAGACGGGCAGGAAGGAGAAGCGGGTCGCCCTCAGTGGACGGAGCCCGGGCTGGGAGAGCCCGAATCCCGACCCGGGGGCCCTGGGAGGAGTTCCAGAAGGTTCTGGCAGTGGGGGAACATTGGCCCCTCCGACGCCCTGGGAGCACGCACGAGGGCTTAAAAGGGAGTCCGCGTGTGGGAGGAGCCCCCACCTCCCGGCCCAACCGTTATCCCGCCTTTGAATAACCAAATCTCCCCGGCTCCGCTCCGGGGACCCTACCTCCCCACCCACTTGGGTGCTGTGGGTAATATTTGAATAGCCGAGGGCCAGAGGCCCGGCCCGGCCCCTCCCACCTGACGGCCAGCAGCCAGCGTCAGCGGGAGAGAGAGAGAGAACTGCCCAGCCACGTGCCGCGGGCACCTCTGGGCTGCGCCAGCCCCCACGGCCCGCCCAGGGCCACCTGCTGGCCGCTGCTGCATGAGGGCCCCTGCTCAGCTGCCAGGGGGAACCCACTCGCCACACACACACGCCGGGCACCAGCTCCTGCACCCCCCCTGCCTGGCCTCTCGCGCCCATTCCAGCAGCCCAGGGCACAAGCCAGCCCCAGCTCCCCACTTACTGGCCCCGGGTCGTTCTGGCCACCCAGAGCAGAAGCCGGCGGGGTTGTGGGGTCCGGGTGAGAGGCGGACAGAGGGACCCGCGTGCAGCTGGGCCTCAGCCCCTGCCCCGTGGGGCCTCCCCAGCCCCGAGCGCCGTGGACAGTGGCCCGAAAACCCAGACCCAAACACGTGGCCACGTCCCAGTTGGCCCTGAGCACAGGGACAGGAGCAAGCCCCGAGCACAGCTGGGCGTGGCCCCGAGCAGACGCACCAAAGCAAAACTCAAAACCCTCCAGCCACCCCTCCCCCGAGGGTCCCCAGGGCCACTGCTGGCCTGGAGGGGGCTGGGAGACCAGCAGAGACCCCAACCCCACCCCACCCCGCACAGGGGGGACCTGGCCTCAGCCGAGAACCCCGACATCCAGCGGGGCGGGAGGGCGCAGGGTTGCAGGAGGGGGGGGTGCGCACCACCCCTGCCTGGCACGACCTGGCCAGCGTGTCTCTGGCGGAGACACACGGGAGCAGCCTGCTCTCGGCCAGACCGGGCGGGGGCCTGCCGGGGCCATCTGGGGGTCTGGGCCAGGGGCTGTGGGGAGGGGCCCCAAATCAGCATGAGGGGAGGGGAAGGGAGGGGAAGGGGGGAGGGCCCGGAGCGTTCAGGGTGCAGAGACTGCCCAGATGGCAGTTCCTGGGCACCCAGGAGGCCAAGGGGAGCCCCAGGGCCCCCCCATGCCCGGGCTCACCCCCACACCTGCCCCTCAGGGCCTTGCACGGTCCAGGGGCTCCTCAGGGCCTGCTGCAGCCCACAGCCCCCGCCCCAGGCCCCCCCTCCCCCCCAGACAGGAGCAGCAGCAGGGCGAGGGTCAAAGGCCAGGGTCAAGGGTCAAAGGCCACTGGGGCTGAAGCAATCTGGGTTTTATCACCGGCATCCCACATGGTCCCTCGAGCACCACCAGGAGTAATTCCTGAGTGAAGAGCCAGGAGGAACCCCTGTGCATGGCAGGGTATGACCCAAAAAGAAAAAAAAAAAAGGTCAAAGGCCACCACCGGGTGCAGTGACGGCCTGAACTTGGCCCCTGGGGACTCCAGCTAACCCTGAGGGCTGCCCCTGCCCCAAAACAGCTGCCTCACACCCCTGACCAGAGACCCCCGAGATTCCTTCCGAGAGCCGCCCCAGCATGGGGTCTCCAGACTGAGACCCCAGGGGTAATGGGCATGGAGGTCACCAGGACGTGTCCTGGGGGGCAGGCACAAGGCCCCAGGCTGTGACCCCAGGGGGTTTCGGTGTGGGGGGGGGCTCCAGGCTGAGATCTGGGGGGCAGACACCAGAGTTCCCGTGGGTTGGGGGGTCCCCAGACCGTGACCCGGGGGAGCAGACAGGGGTCTGCAGGCCGTGACCCCTGGGGCGGGGGGGGGGGGGTGAGGGCGCTCCCTGCTGCTTCTGCTTTCATGAAAATAAAAAAACCCGAAATCCTCTCTCGTTCCTGTTTCTCTGGCCCGCCCGGGCACGCCATAAAATGACGGGCGGGCACGGGGACGGGCCGATTCAACGAGGGGTCTGGCCGTGTCTGCTTCTCCATCCTCCGTGGAGAAGGGCCTGAGCCCCGGACGTCTGCGACGCGCTTGGGCGCCAGCGGGTTGCCCGCAGAAGGCCAACAACCCTCCCGTCACACCAGCTCGGCCCGCCTGCCGGCAGCAAGGGGCTGAATCTGCTGGCCGGCGCCGGCACCCTGGGCGGGGCCAGAGCCACCCAGGGAGCGACACCACCGTCACTGTTGAGTGTCAAATGTGGACGTTCTGCACTGGCAGCCACAAACGTGTAGCCAGAAACTCCAGACGTTCGTCGTGGGGGAGGGGCACAGGAAACACCGGTTCCTGCAGGGGGGGATGTTGGCCCCTTAATAACTGCAGGGCCGGCATAGCAAAGGTCACTCCTGGAGGGCCACAGACAGCCCTGAGGGCGGAGTACGCGGTCTGTGGGGCCGGAGACGCAGAGGTGTCCCGAGCACTGAGATGGGAGCAGCAGCTCTCGGAGGCGGGCGGGAGCCCGGGAGCCCCCAGCCATGCAGGGGCCCCTCTTAAGCGCGGCCTGAGAAGCCTGAGATGGACCAGCGAGCCCCCCAATGCGGGGATCACAGCAGTCAGGGCCGAGGGGGGGATGCCAGGTGGCGGGTGCCCCCCCCATCCCCCAGGGTCTCGCGGCTTCCTTGTTGGCCGTTCACCCCCGCGACTCCGCCCAGAGGCGGGGAGACTCAGGGTGCGCCCAGCCAGCACCTCTGCCAGCTGGCGGGTACGGAGGAGGCGGAGAGCTGGCCCCAGGCTGGCCCCGGGCACACACCCGGGTGGGGCCCTAACTGGGGTGAGCGGGGGAGCCAGATGCCGCCCAGGTGCCAGACCTCGCCCCAGGAGCACTGGGACCCGAGCAGCCCCGGGAGAGGATGATGGTCAGGCCCCAGGGGGGGCCCTGAACTAGAGGCCCGGAGCCAGCCGGGAACCCCGCTACGGGCCCTAGGGTGCGGGCACCCACGGTCTGGGGAGAAACTGAGGCTCCTCCAAGTGCCCAGGGTCACACCGCTGGGGGTGACATCAAATGAAAGGAGGGTCGCCTGCTTCCCAAGGGGCAGCCCACCCCCCCAAGCCAGGCCCCGCACCCCAGTTCAGTCACCCCTCCCCGCCCCACTCAACCCAGGCACTCACTCAGTCACCGGGCCAAGCCCTCTCCTCCCTCTGTCTCTCCCTGTCCTCTCCCCCTCCTCCCCACCCCTCCCTTTCCCTCTCTCTCTCTCTCTCTCTGTCTCTGTCTCTCTCTTGCTGTCTCTCTCTCTGCTGCTCACTCCCTGTCTCTCTCGTCTCCCTCCCTCCTCCCTGGGATGCCAAGCACTGGCAGGGAAGTGCAGTGGGCAGGTAAATATACCATGTACACGTGATCATATAAATGCACCGCGTACAGTTATGCAGACATGCGAGTGCTGATGGGGTGTGGGACCCCAAACCCCCTCCCCAGTGTGCACATGCACACACACACACACCCCTACATGCACACATACACATGCACACACACTTATACACACACATGCACACATACACACACATGCACACGATTGCAAGCACACACATGCACACGCACACTCATACATGCACACACCCACACGGACATACACACATGTGCGCACACTCACACATGCACAGGCACGCACACTCAGATACACACACACATAAGCACACACCCACACGGACACCCACACTCACATGCACACACACACACTCAGGCACACACGCACACACAAGTGTAGATACACACATGCACTCGCACACACACACACACTCAGCGCGCACACACCCGCACACACAAGCGTACACACATGCACACACACACATGCCAGACAACACACGCACACACACGCACGCGGACACTCACGCACACACACACACACAAGTGAACACACACATGCACACACGTTTACTCTCACACACACACACTCACACGCGCTCGCACACACTCTCACGCGCGCGCACCCACACTCACACTCGCACGCTTGCACGCACACACACTCGCGCGCGGACCCGCACAGCCGCTCCCCCGCCCGGCGCCGCCGACCCTCGGGCCCCCCCCCCGCGGCACCTGCGCCCGGCGGGGCAGGACGGGCAGAGCGACGCCGCCCCCGCCCGCCCCCGCCCCCCGCGCCCGACCCCGCGCGCCCCCGCCGCGCACTCACCGCTTTGCCGCGGCCCGGCCCGTCCGGCCGCCGGACACTCCCTGCCCGCCCGCGGCCACTTCTGCTTCGGCCGCGCCACGTGACGCCGGGGCCGCCCGGCCCGACGCGCCGCCTGCAGTCCCGCGGCCGCCCGCCAGGGGGCGCCCGGGGCCGCGTAAGGGCCGGGGTCGGGGCCGGGGCCGCCAGGGGTGCGTGGGGGCGCGCGGGGACGCCTCGTGCCACGCCCTCCCCGCCCCCGCGCCCACCCCCGGGCGCCCACCCCCCGCCCCGGCCCGGGCCTCCCCGCCTCCCTCCCGGGCACCTGCAGGGGCCGCTCAGGGTGACCAGGGGCCGGGCGCGGGAGGGGTCGCCCGTGCAAGTCGGGCCCGCACCTCGGCCCCTCCCAGCTACGTGCCCAGGCAGGACCCCCGGCCTGGGCGGGGGGCGCAGGCGGGAAGTGGAATCGAGCCGGGGTGGGCGTCCCTCCCCGGGCCCAGCCCACCCACAGCACCCCCTTGGGGCAGGGGAGGGCAGTGAGGGCCGGGCCAGGAAGTGACCTCAGGGTGGAGGGGACTTTCTTTCCTTTTCATATAAAAAGAAAGAAGGGTGGGGGCGGGGGCGTGTCAAATAAACTGAAAGAAAACCCGCCAGGGCGGCTTCTTTTTCTTTGGGG